TATGTTATTTTAGCATGTTTTTTAATCATTAAAATTTCAAGAATTAAAAAAGATAATCTATCTAGAGGTTGTCTGAAATTAATTTTTGCAAAATTCGCGTGGGTTGTAACACCGAAATTGCGTTAAGTTAATGTTTAATGCGAAATTTTTGTCAACCACCGGAAGCACGATTAAAAATTGGATTTCTGTATTCACAATCAATTTAATTTAAATTTAAATTTGCAAATCTTGTGTACGTAACCTTTCCATATTGTTTTTAATACAAATTAATAGTTATTGTTTTTGTTAATTTGGCAAACATAAGTATTATACTCGTATATGTTGACCCCTATCTAGTTGAATAAATTAATATTATACACTCATGGGCAAAATTTTCGAATAATTTTCAGAACTTTTCTTTTGTCATTTAAATCGTTACTATGAAAAACAGTTTAGTTTAAACACTGCCAGTGGAAAGTTTTTAGGATGTACCTAAGACGAAAATATAACTAAAAAAAATTGTCACGTATAGCCGCCCATACTAAAATATGTTAGTAAAAAGTTGGTAGGCAGTTCTTTTAGTTTCAAAGTAAAGGAATTTTCCAAGTTTTTTTTATCTCAAAAACTGCGACTTTGACTGAATTTGATGTTATTACAAATTTTGTTGCAAATATTATTTCTAATCTTAAATTGAAAACCGCGTTTCGCTAGCTACTGTAATTTTGGAGTTACGATTTTTTTAAATTTTTAACCCCCTCCCCATACCCCCTTAACAACCCACCACCCCCACCAAAAACTAATAGCCAGATTCTCGGGTGCCACAGTATTTTTGTGCCAAATTTGGTTAAAATCGGTTTAGCGGTTTTTGATGACCCAATAATGACCCAAATAACCCATTTTGAGTGAAATTGAAAAAAAACTGTTTTTTTTTTGCCGATCTTAATAGCCTACCATACCTGTTGGTATGGTCGGTTAAAAATTGGTTATGCACTATGTGCGCATATTTGAAAGTGAAACTTCTTACTTCCTCTGTCTATTTGTCTGATCTATTGACTCCATTCGGGTACCTCTATCTACGTGTCGAGTTTGGTTCCAATCGACACACAATTAAGAAAAATCCTGATGATTTCGTCCATTTAGAGACATCGGTTCGAAACGTCGAGGGCGTCATCCTGTGTTGTTGTACACGGTCAAATTGGCCTTGGTCCAATCTATCGACA